TTCATTGTTTAGGTGCTTGGGGTGGCACTTATCGCTGACAATGCCGACGAAATGTCTGTGAATGCACCCAATCAACGGTCTGATACTAGAATGAGGCAAGACAACAGTAGCAAATCACGCATTTTGGGGTAACTTCCTCAAAGTCTTGCCAACAAACTGGAATAAATTGAGAAAAAGAGGCAAAATTAGCTTAATACTTGTGTAGGCCTGCCTAATAAAGTATCCTAATCGGCACATAACTTCCAAACTTACACTTGTAGTAATAATTTATCTTAAAACCCTTCCTTAAACCCTTCTACAAGTATAAATAAAATCCAACATGATAGTCTCTAATACGCATTTATACTCAACCTAAATGTTAGATAGTCATCAAAATATCCAAAAATGGTAAGTAAATAAATAAAAAGGTTATTTTTCGAGACTTTCCCACCCGTTGCTTTTAAGGTGATAAAAGGACTAGTAGTTGAATTCTTCTAAAACGATATGAGTAGACCTTACGTTTCCATCTAAGTTTCCATAGCCTCGCTTCCCAAAAGATATTCTCATCCAGGAAGTGACGGACTGCAGTTTCGTCCTCCCCCCTTAGTGGGACTCGAACCATGACAATGCCCCGTAAAAGCTCGTCAGAATGCCACGAGTGCCCTTGGCTCACAGGGCAGATGCAGATTTCAAGGAAGGCCAGGCATTTTTCCATATCACATTCTGTGCTGGGATTGTGGATAAAGCAAAATCGTATTTGTTATAGCAATTGACTACATTACTTATTTAGTTTGTAAGTAGGTTTTTTAATCTTTTTTTGAGACCACCGATAGACGATGCTAAAAACGAAAAAAAGTGATGTAGTCGATTGTAATAGAAAATATAACCTTGCTTGATCGACAATCCCATCAGAAAATGTAATATGCGAAAATGACTGCCTAAAGGCACTCGTGACATTGTGGCGTATTGGTTAGCATGTCGAGATTGTACACTGCCCTGTCACGGTTCGAGTCCCACTGGGGCTGTTGCTAAGACCCAAGCGAGGTTAAAGCTGCAGTCAATTCCTGTCTGGATGAAAATACCTTCTGGAAGAGCGAAGCCATGTTGCGTTCAATGGAAGCGTAAGGTCTACGTAAATGGTTGTGAGAAAATTCATCTACCAGTCTCCTGCTAACCTTAAACGACATAGTGTGAATACCTTTCACATAAATTAGTAAGCCCATCCATTTCCATTCTGCTGATTAAGCAAGAGCAATGAATTATCTAAACTCCTCTTATCATATTGTCACAGAAAAATACTTATCCGACAATTTGGATGCTAATCCAACTCTCAAAGTGAAGTGGTACTTTTTTTTCACCTTTACACAATAACCCAAATTGCAAGTGTCTACCCACCATTAATTGAAACTATTTCCCCATTGGCCTGGCTGGGAAGTTATGAAACATTGTGGAAGTAATGATGCCATTTCCTTTTAAAGTGCTCTTGCTTCGCGTACAACAACACTGAATTCCACTTCTCCATTTCAGGGACTCGTGAGCAGGCCATAGTGTACACTTTGGCCAGCGCCTCGTTCATCTTCGAGGTGGCTCGCCGCTGTGCCTCCAACAAACTTGTCCACTGTCAATGCGGCCTCGATGAGTGGACCGACATGCCTGCCAGCTCCGGGGCCCAACTCTCGCTGGAGCCGGGAGACGAAGAGTACAAGACACCGAACGGTCGTCTGCTCGACGCACGCTACCTCCTCTCCACGCCTGGAGGTGAGTCGACGCTTCGGCAACGGATGCAGCACCAACCAGCAGCTTCACTTGTCTACACGGGACTCGGCGCGACGCGACGACTCTCGACCACCGGGCGCAGATCGGCGCGACACGCCGACTGGACGAGTTCTGAGTCAGAAAGCCGGTTGGACGCATCTTCTGCCGACGCCTGGGAGGACGAGACTGAAGAGAGAGCCGGAATGGAGGCCGACGGCGACGCTAGTGCCGCATGGAGCCAAGTTGGCCGGTCTCGGGACGCTGCTACTGGCAGATATTTTGACGAGCCGCCAATCAGTAGAGCCTGGCCACCGGCTGGCGGGCGTCGAACTCAGACTCCGGCCTCTCTACAACGGTCAAGCGGAAATATTGCTGCAAATTTTCTCTCGGGTTGGTTGAACGACAATGCGATGCAAATCATATGAAGTCTGGTTGGACAAAGGCCCACAATTAGTTTAAATGGGATCTATTCAACCGATTTCGTTTAAGGTGATGAAGGACTGGTAGAAGAAGAATTTTCCCACAATGATATGAGTT